ATGACAAATAATCTCTCTCAAATAAATTTTAACTAAATCTGACATAACTGTCAAATCCATAAGTGTGCAAACAAATGAATACATCTGAATAGGTAACTGTATGTAACTGATTTGTACAAAAATTTTTAGTAAAATTGTAACATATTCCAGGTGGAGAAAAGAACGCCATCTCTCTCAATGAATGGTTATTATACCAACCTACGATGATTGGTTCATTGATAATTACAGGTGATGAATGAATCATCCAAACGACATTGATAGTAAAAAATGAAAATAATAAATGCAATGTAATACATTATTAAAATGAAATACATTGGTTCATATTATCAATTACTCCAAATCAAAAAACAATTATGTTTGTAATATCAATGATAACTTGATAGTTAACAGATGTCGAAAGATAGAATAAAAGAGTTATCAAAAAATGTGAGTTGTAATAAAAAAATAATGAGTTTATTCAATAAACATTTTTCTTTTCGTTTTTTTACTAGACTCCATGGCCACATGTTACATATCGAAGAGTTTCACGACAAGTATTAATATCCTAATCACGCCTACAAAATGCTCCGAGTTTTAGATAAGAGATTAAAATTTATCAGAGGGCGAGTTATATGATTGTTTGTAGTAGTTTTTCACTGTGCATGTCTCGTTTTTGTCATGTTTCATTTGTGCTTGTTTGTAAATATTATTTTTCGAAGTAATCTAATTTTGATATTTTACTATTAGTTCCAAAAAGATGAATTCCAAAATATTACTAATGATGGCAATGCTCAATGTATTACTATAGCGGTAGACAATGAAAATAATGTTACTGAATTTTTAGCACAAGTATGAATTCGTTTGATTATTTTACTAAGAAAAAAGTATTGAATGTTTCTTTTTTATCTATTTAAGATCGATTTAACTCGTTTACTTGTTGATAAAATCGAAGAACTTGCTGATGAAACTAAAAAAATTCATGAAAAAATGCTCGAACCAATGGCTGATCCTAGTATAAATATTAATAAACTATCAGAAAATACAAAAAAGAATTATCATATTGTTTTGTTTTCTTAGAACTTTCACAAAAACTTGATGATATAACTGATGATATAAGAAAATTAGCATATGATGTTTCAACTAAACTTAAAAGTACAAAGAAAAAAGTCATTATTTTTTACTTATTACTATCGTTATTCTTATTAATTAGAAATGGAACAAATGCAGGAAGATCAAAATGCTACTGAGAAAGAAAGTGCTGTATGGCGTATAAAACATTTACAAATATCGAATATAACGAGACATTTCAGTACAGTTATGAACCAATATAATCAAGAATCTGTTTTACATCGGCAAAGGTGTAAAAATGCTATTAAACGTGAACTCGAAATAGGTGAATATTAATTATTTAGAGATAGTAAAAAATTGAAACTAGTATGAAAAATATTTGTATTTATTTTGATTTTCAACAGCTGGTATTCGTAAAACTGATGATGACATAGAGGAAATGCTTGAAAATGGTTTTCCAGGAACGTACAGTTTTTCTGTAAGAATTTTATTTCAGTATGTTCCTTACTAATAGATTATATGATGTTATAGATTATGGCTGATGTAAAAAATGCAAAAGAAACACTTAATGAAATCGAAGCACGTCATCGTGAAATAACTAAACTTGAAAAGTCTCTTATAGAATTACACTCAATGTTTATTGATTTAGCTCGACTTGTAGCAAATCAAGTATAAGAAAATGTTAACTTAATAGTTCATTTTCTTTTAAAATTGTCTTTTTTAAGGGTGCAATGATTGATAATATTGAACACAATGTATCGAAAGCAGTCAAAGATGTTGGTGATGCTACAAAGCAAGTAGATCAAGCTGAAAAATCACATCAAGCAGCCACAAAAGTAAATAATTTATTCAAAAAAAAAAAAAGAAATTCATATTCGACTAATTTTATTTCATTTTTTAGAAAAGATTTATTCTGTGTATTGTTATAATTGCTATTGTTATTATTCTTATACTTATATTTGCTGCTTATTTTACAACTCAAAGGAAGATTATAGGAAGATGAAATAATAAAATAAATTTTGTAAAATAAAGTAGATTGTGATTTTGAAAATTTGTCGCTAATTATTAACGTTATAGTTTTATTGAATTTGATTTTCTTTTTCAATGAATCAAATTTTTGCTTTTTTTTCTGTTCACAATAAATATAATAGAAATATTACATATTTCGTTTAATTGATCTATATTTCCAATATGAAAAGTAAAGATTTGAATCTATTTATTGGATACTATAAAATAACTCTATGCGTAGTCAACCATAAAATACTCATAAAACGTTTTTATTTCATGACATTTCGCCATGAAATGGATCTTTCTTTAAGAAAGAATTGCTTTTCATATCTTGAAATAAGTATGTATTAAAGAAATATGTTTTGGCGAGTTTTATTTATAGAATTAAAACACATGACGAAATTATACTATCCGAAAAAGAAACTTCGTCTGAATATAATAATTTTGAAACGTATGAATCACCTTTCTCTCTGAAAAAACACGGCACCTGATGGGTTTCAGTAATTTTTATGCAAAAAGGTGGGTTACTACAACAATATTGTGCAAACAGGCAAGTGACTACCGAAATATTATGCAAAATGTTGAATGTCGTCAAGGATTCTGTGCAAATAGTTGATCAACTGTAAATAATATTTCATATTTCTTATCGCTAGTGGATGTTAATGAAATGCTTATCAAATTATATTTCTAATATTAATGATAACTTGATAGTTAACAGATGTCGAAAGATAGAATAAGAGATTTGCAAAAAAATGTAAGTTGTAATAAAAAAATAATGAGTTTATTCAATAAACATTTTTCTTTTCGTTTTTTTTCCTAGACTCCATGGCCACATGTTACATATCGAAGAGTTTCACGACAAGTATTAATATCCTAATCACGCCTACAAAATGCTCCGAGTTTTAGATAAGAGATTAAAATCTATCAGAGGGCGAGTTATATAATTGTTTGTAGTAGTTTTTCACTATCCATGTTTCATTTGTGCTTGTTATAAATATTGTTTTTTGAAGTAATCTAATTTAATGTTTTACTATTAGTTCCAAAAAGATGATTTCCAAAATACTACTAATGATGGCAATGCTCAATGTATTACTATTGAGATTGACAAAGAAAATAATGTTGCTGAATTTTTAGCACAAGTATGAATTCATTTGATTATTTTACTGAGGAAAAAAATAATTAAAAAATTCTTTTTTATTTATTTATTTAAGATTGATTTAACTCGCTTACTTGTTGATAAAATCGAAGAACTTGCTGATGAAACTAAGAACATTCATCTTAAAATGCTCGCATCAACAGCTGATCCTAGTATAAATATTAATAAACTAATAGAAAAAGTATTATAATATTGTATTGTTTTCTTAGAACTTTCACAACAACTTGATGATATAACTGATGATATAAGAAAATTAGCATATGATGTTTCAACTAAACTTAAAAGTACAAAGAAAAAAGTCATTATTTTTTACTTATTACTTATTACTTTCGTTATTCTTATTAATTAGAAATGGAACAAATGCAGGAAGATCAAAATGCTACTGAGAAAGCAAGTGCTGTATGGCGTATAAAGCGTTTGCAGATATCGAATATAACAAGACATTTTAGTGAAGTTATGAATCAATATAATCAGGAATCTGTTTTACATCGACAAACATGCAAAAATATAATCAAACGTGAACTTGAAATGGGTAAGTGTTAGTTATTCAGAGATAGTAAAGAATTGAGACTAGTATGAAAACTGTTTGTATTTATTTTGATTTTCAATAGCTCATATTCATAAAACTGATGATGAAATAGAAGAAATAATTGAAAATGGTTTTCCAGGAACGCACAGTTTTTCGGTAAAATTTTATTTCAATTTGTTCCTTACTGATAAATTGTATGATTTCATAGATTATGACTGATACAAAAAATACAGAAGGAGCACTTAATGAAATCGAAGCACGTCATCGTGAAATAACTAAACTTGAAAAGTCTCTTATAGAATTACACTCAATGTTTATGGATTTAGCTCGACTTTTAGCAAATAAAGTATAAGAAATGTTAAATTAATAGTTCATTTTCTTTTAAAATTTCATTTTTTAAGGATGTAATGACTGATAATATTGAGCACAATGTATCGAAAGCAGTGGAATATCATCATAATCCTACAGAGCAAGTATATCAAGCTATAATATTCCATAAAGCAGCTTCAAAAGTAAATAATTTATTTAACGAAAAAGAGAAATTCATATTCTACTAGGTTTATTTCATTTTTTAGAAAAGATTTATTCTGTGGATTATTATAATTGCTATTGTTGTTGTTCTGGTACTTATATTGTTGCTTATTTTACAACTTAAAGGAAGATTATCGCAAAATAAAATAACAAAATAAATTTTGAGAAATAAAGTAGATTGTGGTTTTGAAAATTTGTTGCTAAGTATTAACGTTATAATTCTATTGACGTTAATTTTTTTTTAATAAATCAGATTTTTACTTTTTTTTCTGTTCACAATAAATATAATAGAAATATTACATATTTCGTTTAATTCATCTATACTTCGAATATGGAAACTAAAGATTTGAATCTATTTATTGGATACAATAAAATAACTCTATGCATAGTCAACCACAAAATACTCATAAAACGTTTTTATTTCATAACATTTCTTCTGAATATAATAATTTCAAACGTATGAATCAACCTTTTCTCTGGAAAAAAACGGCAGTTGAGTGGTTTCAATAATATTGTCCAAACAGTTGATAAAGTATATAGAAGATTTCATATTCTCTATGAGTAATGGAAATGAATGGTATACTTATCAAAGTTTGTTTTATAAAACTACAAAGATATTTTTGACTTATATCTGTATTTCATATAGACTAACTAAACAAGTAGTTAACTATTCTGGTATTACAGCATTTTTCATTGAGAGACTTCTGATATTGCATTATCATATTATTACATTTATTTTTTTTCTAGAACAGATGTACTCTTCCAAAAATCAGGCAGATATAAAAAGAAACGTATGAACAAAAGTTATTTTAGTTTCCTAAAGTAAAATAAATCACATCTTGACATATATTTCCGTTCGCATATTAATTAAAAACTAAGAAACTTCAAAAAAAGAATTTCATTTTACAAAGTAGAATGGGTTTGAAAGGGTTCAACTGTGTTATGTGTTTTATATATTAATCATAACATAATTATTTTTAACGGAAATAGAGTACACTTTTTTAAACTAAAGTGATTAACAAATAATCTACATAAAATCGAATAGAAGACATTCTTATGATTGACTATTCAATGTGAAAATCATTATTATCGAATTCAAGATAATAATCGAATCGGGTTAGTTATTTCGAAAAATATTCACCACAACCTTAACTTATCCATTAAATTGAAAGACAATCCTGAAATAAAAGGATGTATATCAAAACGAACATTATGTGTTGATATTGATAAATAAGTAGTAAAAAGAAGTCCATTTTTCTTTTTACTTGACGTTCTTTTAAGTAATTTGGTTTATTTTATCATAGACATCGAGAACAAAAACTACGCATGACATTTCCATGCTTAGAGGATTATTAGGATGAACAAATCCTCTCATTATTCTAGTTTTTTCAAATTAATTTCTATCATATGAATATTCAGTACATACTTTTGCTGCAAATAGTATTTAGAATAATTTTCAAAATGTCATAAAGTACTTCTGATAGCATATTCATATCGATTATTTGTGAGTAGAAAATTTTACTATCTGTCATATTTAGATCAAAAGCTGATATCATTTAAAATCACTATCATTATCATTTATAAACATATCTTCGATTAGACGACAGATACATAAATTCAAGTAAGGTACAATATAATCATATTTATGCATGACTGAACTTTTTTAATGATGTTAAGCTAAATTTAGACAGGTTTGATCAATGAGTAAAACGGAATGAGTATATATTCAATCGAATTTACCATGCAAATACGGTGTGATTATTATCATAAAAATTGAGTCATTTATTGTTGTTTTGACGAAAACATCAATATTGTATTATATTATAATATATGTGCATAAAAGTAGATATTTACCACATAAATACTTTAGAGTATACTAGAGAATTGAATAGTAGTTAGTTGTTATGACTCATAAATGAATTCTGATTGGTTGAAAAAATTTATTAACAGTGCACAAACGATTTGTTTATGTATGCATTGAAGAAAAAAAAACTGATGCCGTCTTCAATGGCATCCTATTACGAGTAAGCTTACTACTATATTTCTATATACATCAAATAATGATTCATCGATATTACTATTTTTTTTCTGTGTTTCTATAAATGAATTGGATGTGATAGATTTATGTTACATAAATATCTTGATTACTTTCTAATATAAATTATATCACCTGTTTAATTTTTTTTTATCTCTAGATTTATACAAATGTCTTATTGATTGGATTATTAATATTTCTATTCAATGACTAAAGATCGATTGCCCGCGTTGCGGGCTGTAAGTTTTAAATCGAAAAAAAAGAAATAAATAATAATTTGTTTTGTTTTTTTTTTAGGCCCAAAATACTGAAGATAGCGATCCAGATGCAGCATATACTGCTATTAATATGGAAGATAATAGTCGATTTATGTCCGACTTTTTTGCTCATGTGGATTCATTACGTACAAATATTGATAAAATAAGTGAACTTGTTGATGAAGTTAAACGTCTTCATTCAACAATATTAGCTGCACCACAAGCTGATGATCGAACGAAAGAAGAACTCGAAGAAAAAATGGCTGACATTAAAAAATTAGCTAATGGTGTTCGACAAAAATTAAAAGGTAAGTTAAGAAAAAGCAAATCTAGAAAAACAAATATTTTAATTAAAATAAAATAATAAAAATTTAGCAATGGAAACTGAATTAGAACAGGAAGGAAATGATAATGCATGGCGTACAGCTGATATACGCATACGAAAAACTCAGGTGTTGTCTCTTTCTATAGTCTATTTCCATGTTGTCTAATCGTTTTTTTAAATGTTGTCTTGTTTTGTAATCCTTTATATGTTTTTTTCCCATCTTATTACAGAAACGGAACAAGAACAAGAACAGTCTCAAGCAACATCAAGTAAAACTCAAGCACAATTACGAATTGAAAAATCACAGGTAGTACATTAATAATAAACATGCGACACGACACGACACAATACAATACTCCTCATTCCTTGTCTTATGTATAAATGTTAAAATTATTTTTTTTCGTTTAAAAAAAAAACAAACAATTGAGAAAATTTGTTTTATTTTCCTTATTTAGCATGCAACATTATCACGTAAATTTATTGACGTAATGAATTCATATCGAAATGCTGAAATTGAATATCGAGAACGATGTAAAGCTCGTATTCAACGACAACTTGAAATCAGTGAGAAATCATATCTATTGTGTCGTGTCAAATATCTATATGTGCTTTCTATGTATTTGTTATGTCTGTTTGTTGTTTTGTTAGTTACATAATCTTTTAAAACGATTCAATCAAATTATGATTGATTATCATCTAGCAAAAAGATATTATTTAGAAGAAAGTAAAAAAAAATTAAAAAAACAAATCGAAATGAGTGAGTTTTGAGAAAGTAAATGCTGAATTCTTCTTTTTTTTTCTTGTTTTGCATATATTTTAATGTTGTATGTTTATGCTTTTAATGTTGTTTTGCATTTATGTTGTAGTTATTTGTGTTAACACAAAAATTTCGTGATGTAATGAACGATTATAATCAAGTTCAGTTGGGTTATCGACAAAAATGCAAAGAGAGAATACAGCGGCAGCTTGAGATCAGTGAGCTTGTTTTGCTATTATTATCGTCATTAGAAACGAAAATTAAAAGATTTATTTAAAAAAATGAAATATTATTTTATTTAGCCGGACGATCTGTAACTGAAGGAGAAGTTGAAGAAATGCTTGAATCTGGCAATCCAGCCGTATTTACACAAGGCGTAAGTTTTGCGAAAGAAATTTAATTTATATGTGATAAATTGTTTTGTTTTATAGATTATGGTTGAAACAGCACAAGCGAAACAGTCACTTGCTGATATTGAAGCGCGACATGGTGATATTATGAAATTAGAAAAAAGCATCAAAGAATTACATGATATGTTTATTGATATGGCTGCACTTGTTCAAACACAAGTAAGTTTTATCATTTGTTTTGATTATAGATAAGAATACTTTTCTTTTTTTTATATTATTAAAGGGTGAAATGATTGATCGAATTGAATATAATGTTGTGCAATCAGAAAATTTCGTCAAAGCTGCTAGTACAGATACGAAAAAAGCTGTTAAATTTCAAAGTGCAGCGCGGCGGGTGAGTTTTAATATTCATAGTGTTGGCTAACTGTTGTAACAATGCATGTTTGTTGTGATCTAACATGATTAATTCTAACACTTGTATGCGTTTGCTTGCTTCTAACTAACTGCTTCTCGAACGCTTTTTCTTCTCTCATCGGGATATAAAATCTAGTGATCTATTATTTATGCCTCTACTGATCAACTCGGATCGACGCTCATTTTTCATCAATGAACTAAACAATTAATCTTATTTAGAAAAAAATTCTACTTATTCTGTGTTTGGTTATAACAGTGGTTATTATTATACTCGTTCTTGTCATTTATTTTGTGATTAAAAGTAAAAGTTCTAATAACAATTCTCAATCATCAGGAACAACAGTAACAACAGTAACAACAGTAAAACCAGTAACTTCTGGAACAGGCTAGATAGATTATGTATATAGCAATATGCAAACGCGCTAAATACTAACGGCATGGCTAATATATCTATATATATCTACATGTACATAAATATATAAATAAACACAAATAAAATATTATTTTCTACTGTACACAAATCATCTCACTTTTTTTCTCATTTTAAAGAAATTATTTATTATTATTGGGATTATTATCTGTGTTCTCATTGTCTTGGCAATTATTCTAGCAATCGTTTTTACTCAACGGAAATAGTTTTTATTTTCAATAATCTACTTTTCATTTTGTTTTTATTTCCAAAGACATAAATAAATATATAAATTTATGAATCTAGGCGCTTAAATACCGGCAATCGGGCTTCTCTAATATATTGTTTGTTTGTATGTTTGTTTTTTATATTTCAAAAGAAAAAAATGCGGAAATATTTTTATTTGTACAAATCTATACATTCATTGTCTTTCCATCATATTATTTCAAATATGCTATTTTTTGTTTTGTTGTCTATATTTGCATGTGATCCTCTATCTTATTCATCTATTTATATTTTTTTTTTCGTCTTATATTGCTTGTTAATTTGTTATGTTTATTGAATTACACACGTATTTATATATATTAAAGAAAAACACAGAATACACCAAGTAGAAATTTTTCAATCTGCTTCGCTTTTATTGTGTGACATCGAAAATAGAAATGAATATATATTCAAATAATATTTGTCATTTGTTTTGTTGCCTACTTAAGAATAGGATTGTCATTATCTTAGAATGATCAGACATCATTGGTTCTTTTTTTTCTTCATCTCACTCGTATGCCTTCCGGTTCGATGCCGATGATTATTGAATTATTATCTTTTTTTTTCCTTTCGTTATTATTACCAAGAGACAGTCTGGTAAAAACACTTGAAAATCAACAAATCATATTTTCTATCGTAGAAAAAATGCTGCCTACTCACAGTCGCTGGCATTGTATCGGCACTGTTACTCCTTATCGTCACCGGTCTTATCTTAAATGCAATTCGATAAGTGAAAAACAACGTATGAAAGAATGAAACAAAAAAATAGATATTTGCAGCTATTCATTACGCTCAATTTCTTTTTATGGTTTTTGATAATATTAATTTTGTCAGATAGACAGATCTATTATTATTTTATTATTATCAGTATTTTGCCTGCATGTTATATTGTATGTCTGTTGTTTCCGTTCAAAATATAAACTCAGAAAAAATAAACATCTAATAATATTTTCAGAAAAAAATCATCATACTTATTTGTTTGGCTGTTATTATTGTTATTCTTGGATCAATGGTTGCGAGTTGGCTTGGCCTTAAAAAATAGCGTAAGTTAAATGGAAAGATAATTAATTTTCAGTCTCTCTCTCTCTCTCTCTCTCTCTTTATTAATGTTATTTCCTTAAGAATTTTAAATAGTTGTTTATTTTCGGCATAGGATATACTTCTCATCTTTTTAACTAAATCAGCAGAAATATATTCATACCATAAGACATTTATAAAAATAAATCCTATCCATCTTCGAGTAACTTTCTTCTAAAAATAGAAAGTCTTATTTTAAGCCTTAGCTATAATCTATAATTCCATTTTAACAATGAAAAATCATTTTTAATCACTTTGAAAATTACTTTCTATAACTACTCGTTATTCTGCTTACCTGAATAAGAAGAAAAAAAGTTGTGCCGAATCAATCTCTCCATCAATTATTGAACTAAATCTATTTAAAACAACTGTAAGGAACTTAACTATGTTTGCGAATATTACTTACTCCGTTCTTCTTAGGGAATCAATCCAAATAACAGCTTAGATCAGAATTAAGCACAATCACATGTCTCATAAAGAGATAATAGACAGAAAAATTAATTTATATATTGAATATTCTAAAAAGTTAAGAATTACTTTAATTCTAATATTATATTTTCTTTATCTAGGACTGATTGATGTATCATTTAACAATATACAACATAACAAATCAAATAAATTCTATCTATCTATCTTAAAGGAAAATAGTTAATTTTTAGCTCTTAATTTTATCTTTTTAATATGCAAAAAGAATTGTTCTTTTTGTTCTTTTTTTCTTCTTTTTATTTTATGTTTGTATACCAGTGGTTGTGTATGTATTAGGATGTATTAAATGTTAAATAATTGAATATTTCAATCCATTATACGAATTGAATATATAGTCATATAAGAAAATCTATATAAAAAATCTCTTTGTCGCTTCTTGTCTACGTATGTAATGTCAATCAAGTCAGATGAGTGTGTATTGTTTTTTTTTGTTTAAATCCTCATGATTTGAAGATAATTCCAATTTACATTTGTTTTATTTTATTTCGATACTTATGCAAAGAAACAAATAAATATATATATATATATCAAATAAAATACCACTTATAGCATTTTTATGTCTTTTGTTGTGTGCACACATGCGTGCCCTTTTCTAACATGTATGTCTTCGTTTCTTTCCGTGTCTATCATTTTCTTATTATTATTTTCATCACATATGTATTACTCACACACAGATTATTTTTTTCCATAAACAAAAAATAATAAAGATCGACGATTACTATATAATCTAGAATCATTAAAATTTACTTTTCTTTTTATTAAATGAATATATATATACTAAAGATTAAAAATCAAGCAAAAAACGAGAGTAGTTCATTATTGAATATTTATACATCTATATGTATTTAGTTTGATTTTATAAATGGTTCAAGCCATTGTGCATGAGCTGAAAGTTTAACATAGACTCCTGGTGCTAAACTCGGTGATGTTGCTGATCCATAAGATGTTATACCGAGAACAGTCCAACGACCATCGGATTGACGAATAAGTAAAGGACCACCGGAATCACCACTCTAAAAGAAACGATTATATTTCTTTCATAAAGTATTCTCTTTTACCATAGTATCTCTTAGTTGTTCATAATCACCAGCACAAATTTCTGTATTTGGATCAAAGACATGACCATAAGAACGACGACAATAGTAATCATCAAATATACGTACATCAGCTGAAATAAAATCATGTCATTTTTTTATTTAAAAAGAAAAGTTCTTAATAATATTTCTTTCAATTTAAATAATAGCACGTCTTGAAAAGATAAAAAATAATGAATGATAAATATTCTAAATGCCGTTCTGTCAATTGTGTCAACTGAAATGTCATATCGTTCATTCTATTTTGTTATGTAGACTTCCGAATAAATATTTGCATTATATCTCTTTTCTTTGAACGCTCGAAAATATTAGTTTAGTAGTAAAATAACTACAGACGTTTTGAAATGAATGATACTTGTCAGCATAACCATAATATAGATGGTTTTTATAGGATATTCTTGAAGTGTAGGAGATGCCTTATTATATCAAATACTTTTTCTTTCATATTATTCCATCCTGTCGTAGCATTACTAATATTGTCTAATTTACGATTGTTTTCTCATTTCACATGATGAATTACTTCAATATTACTTAACTTTCCTTCTTATTTACAGATGTACTTTTACAAAATTAAGAATAAATTACCTTGTTGTAATGTAAAACTTTTAACCATGTTTGTTATAGTATTCTGTGAACTATCACCCCATCCAATAATGATACCGGTACGATTAACAAGCTCTCGTCCTTGACTGATATTTGCATATGGTTGAAATGGTAAACAAACAGAATTTATTTTTGGACCATATAATACAGGTTTACTTAATTTAAGTATAGCTAAATCATTTTTACAACAGTTTTCAAATTTTGGATGTCGATGTATAGCACTAATTGAATAATAATTTAATGGATTTAATTTACCAAGTATAGTATGTACACCAATAATTGCTTTCATTTCACCAGCTGATGTATGTGTTAAACAATGTGCAGCTGTTAATACTGTATTTTCATTTATAAGTACACCTGCACAACTCCAACCTTGACGAGGACTTGTAAATAATGATACCATCCATGGCCTTCAGAAAATAAAATAGAAAAAATTATTTTCTTTTATACATATCTAATTTATTTGTTGTTTTTTTCTTCTATATCTTACCATGTATGCCAAATAGCATCATTACCACCTTTAATTTTAGAAACAACAGTAGCATGTTTATTATAAATAGCTGGTTGATCATCTTGTGCATAGCCACAACCTCGTGATGTCATCGATTGATGAGTTGATTCTGAATGGCCAATAAAAAATGCTCGAAAACGATAGAAAAGTTCGAGAAGGTAATCTTTAATTGTAGCTGCTGTTTGAGATAATTTATCACCCATTTTATTAAAAAATTGTCCAATATCAGCTGATGGTGATGCTTCAGTTTGAATGACTCCATTAAGTAAAATGATGAATAGAAAAAAACTCATATTGAGAATTGTACGAGACATGATTATGAAAGATTAGAGTGTCTCGTTTTTCTCTTTATTCTTTTTGTTCTTCTTCGCATAATATTCCCATCTGTCATATTACGCATAGATAAACAAAAAATTTCTTTTCCTGTTACCCAAGATCGTACACTGATAAACGATGAATAATGGCGAAGAAGAAAAAAAAAGATATGCGTAGTATTGATGGAGAAGGTCTGTACACAACACAAAGTTACTCATCTAACGTAGGCGGGACGAGATTATACATAGACATCTGTTTCTTTTCTTACGTGCTCAGCTATATGATATGTCAATCATTTATTAACATAGAACTGTAATCATGAGATCGGTCTTCATAAAATTTCACAGATTAAAATTTTCATTTGTTAAACATGAATGATATCTTGCAATCAAAAATTTCATTTCATTAAAGCAATATTTATTATTTTCTAAGAAAAGACAATATCTTTTGCCACTTCTTACAGTTTACGATAAACCATTGTTTACAATATAGAAAAATTTTATTACATAAAGGTTTTTGATCACAAAGTACTGCAAGAACGGACTTCAAATGATTAGTTATGAGATTTCTGGACTATATATATATATATTTATTGATATGTGAAGTATTACAGAATCATTTTATTACAAATTCATAAAAAAGAAAAAATATTCATGAACACTTGGCGTTTGCTTATAAATAAGCTATTTCCTTTATAAATATCCATGAAGTATTTAAAAAAAACTTTTTTGGGAATGTGTTCATGTCTAAGTGACATAGCTCTTTCATAGGAAAAAATGTTAATCATAAACTAAAAGAAACAAAAAATTCATCAGACAGATGTATGATAATTGGAGATACTAAGTATATTGATATTTACTAACGAATTCAATATATTCAGAATATAGCCGAGAAAGACGAAATGAGTTTCAACTTGAACTACCATGCCATATGATATATTTAATAATTAATACTACTTTTTTGTGAAAATACATAAAATTAAAGAACGGTTCTCTATGTGAAAAAGTCTACCAATGTATGTACAAATTTATGAAGAAAAGTTGCAACTTATAGCATGTTATAACTTGTTGAAGTGGAAATGAAGAATGAGTTTGCTTTTTCTCTTTTAAAAATCAACTATTATATTCGTTGTGGTTGTTAAAACTCACATATCCGAGTTGTATTGCTATGGTTTATTATTTGACTGATTGATACGAATAATTGCAAACAAGTTTTAATATAATAATTCGTCTAATTTGATCTTTATAGTTCGTAGTTGGTATTGTTTCCATAGAATATGAGTCTTCTGCATTTCGAATTGCTTCAGTTAAAAATATGGCGCATGTTAAGACTGATTGAAATGTTTGAGGTTGTGTTGAATAACAACATAAAATTAAGAATCTCATCTTGGTAATCTATTATATGATTTATTTGGTATTAAAATAATATCTGAGTAAAGTTTTTTTTCGAAGTGCACAATAGTAACGGTAGTTAAGCTATTGATAAACTTGAATAGAAAAACTGTCGCTATCTTCATCCCAACTATTAGGTAATTTTTTTATTTTGTAGAGGTTTATAAAGAATATTTTATTAACTTGGATGTGTGGGATGCTCTTTATTTGCGAGCATGTACTAACGTTTTTGTCGGAGAGATGAAGAAATATTCTTAGACGTTAAGTTGAGTAATATATGTTATCGCCTTGAACTATGCATAGATGTGTTGAAGTGACGGTAACATATATGTACTTCTTTTCATTTCATTATAAATGTGAAAATTTTCAATCTGTTACGACCATTTTCCACCTAGAAGACAAAAGAGATATTACAAAACAATGCCAAGAATAAAACCGAAGATAAAGACAAATTATTTTTGTAACCTGTTCTATTGATATCAAAAGAAAATAAAAAAAAACTTGAATTACTAAGATTCTTTTAGAGAATATCTCTGATGAATTACACTCGGAAAAAAGATATTATAGATATATTTATGAATCATTCAAGAAATCATCTCTGCTTCGAGTTGTCGAAATTATATCTAGCTGAAGTTTTAAATATTCTCATTATTTTTTTTATTATGACACAGCATAATTTCATTTTAGTATTAAATTGAAATTGAACTCTGTCTATTTGTTTTTCTTTGTCGTATGAAATAGACTAGTTTCTATCTTAATCTTTAGTTTTGTTTGTAATATAATTATTTTACTTACCCTATGTTAAAAGTCGTTTAAAATATATTTCAAAATCATAAGCCTTGGTTTTATGTCATTGTCTCGAGGTATATCGCTTGAATAAGTTAATTATAAAATCGTTTTAGATGTAGTTTTTTAAAATCTCTCTCTATATAATATTCTATATAGATATGAATGTATTGTTTTAATAATCTATATAATTATTCTATTACGTATTAGAACTACTAAACTCTACTCTTAAATGATTACCTGTATCTTCACGGTCAATGAGTAAATAACTGTTTAATCATGTAATGGACGAAGAAATAAGTTTTCAATAATGCATTAAATAATATTTACGAATTAAATGTACGCATCTTTGCATAATATATATATAACTATACTTACTTAGTTATTTGGTCATATAGAAAAATGGGTATAATAATATTGATTTTATACTTTAAAGAAAGAAAAAAGAAAGAAACTATAATGTATATACCATGATGACGTTAGTATTTGAATAACATAAAATTTGGAGTTATATATTACGTCATACTAATAATGTATGTAATTAAAAGAAAAATATTTATGTTCTAAATTTTGTTTTTATATTTAAAAAAATTTGTCTTTGTCTATAAAAGATTCTTTATTTGATTTTTTTCATATTTATATGTTCTTTCTCTTCTGTAAAAAAAACTTCAATGAAAATCATCTGCACCAATAAAGTAAATATTTTCGTCCGTTAAATCGTTTTACGTTTTAGTGTTAGTTATCAAATATTCAGCTATAAAAAAACAGATATTGATTCGATGAAAAGTTCGTGTAAATAGTTTTATCATATGTAAAATATGAAAATACAACTATTGAATCAGTCTGAGAAGTGCTAAGAACCTTTACAACTTCCTTCAAATAATATTACTTCAATTACTTCTAACAAATTCATTGGATTAAATTTAATAGATTGATTCGAGATTATAAAAGATAATACAAATAAATTCATGATAATATGAACTTAGCTTGATATACAGCGGACGTCAAATCTGTTTTTTAATAAACAATGTACGCATTTTTAAAGACTATAATATAATACTATTGGAGGTAGTTGAAATTATGTTCTTCTACATTGTACTCATCTAGAAAATGTTTTCAGTCATAAAATTACATTAATAATATTTTTAAATAATTAATACAGACATGAATGATGTAAACTTAACATATAGAATATGTCAAAGATCATGCAAGAAGTTTGTTTCCCTCATTGTTTGGTATGATATAAATAAAAGAAAATATAAGTTTATGTCCAAAGTAAATGGCTATCAATGATTTTCAAGTCATGAGATAAATATTGTTGTTTAAACATAATTTTGTACTTACAAGTACAATAAATATTTAGTATTTTTCTTTTTTTCATAGAAAATGTTCTAACCGTAATTGTTAAATATATAGATTATTCATGACAATTAATAATATATTATTTATTGATTTCTTCATCTTCATATGTATCATTTGCTAGCGATAGTCTACCTATCTTCATATTTCATCAAGTAAAATCTATTGGATACAGAAATATTAGATTACAAATCAATTTGTCGTTGTTTGGAGAGATTGGTTTCAAAAAGGTATACTTTTTATTTCATTTCTATGGCACATCGCATTCTCAGTTGACAAAGAAAAAAGTAAGAAAGAGAAACAGCGGAGAAAGAAAAATTAACGACTGTAAATTACAAGCAAATAAAAAAGAAAACAATTGTTTTCATCTATTTTTTTTTAATTGTCCAAAGGAAATCAAAATCTAGATCTCTTGATTTAATTTAATATAAATACATTTGGCTCAAACGAAGAAAAAAAAAGAACGATAGATGCTATTTTAATTTTTGACTAGATCGATGTAAGAACATTCAGTTTTAATTATTATTGGTAGTTGTTTCATTCGTTAATTTTTGTTGCTGTTGTTGTAATTGTAAATAAAATGCTTGAAATTGTTGAAAAAGTTCTTGTTGATTGCCTGTAGTAGCATCAAAAAATGGTGAAATAGCATAAAACGGGATAAACATGGATGATGCAGCTGCAGCTGCAGCGGCGGCAGCAGCAGCAGTAGCAGTAGTAGTTGTAGTTGCAGCAGTAGCTGGATTTGTCACTGATACTGATGTATTATTGTTTCGTTTAGATGCTGATAAACTAACAGATTGATGCCGTTTACGTTTTGAACATAAATTTAACGGTTGTTCATATTGTTGTTTCGATGAAATTGAAAGATCTAATGGTTTAATATCATCATTTATTAATGGAATATTTAAACTGCAATGTGTTGCTGGTGGTGGTATTGTTGTTGTTATTATTTGTTTAGTCTAATAATGAATAAAAATATTAGAAATAAAGTTTTCTTTTTTTTTACAGATAAGAAATTACGTACTGGATCATCATTAGACATACTGTTCGAATCATTCTCATTGGTGTGAATATCGGTATTATCGGTTATTGTTGATTTAACCAACGAAGTTTTGCTTAAATTATGTAATGATGGAGCAAATTTATATTTTTTTATACAAACATCACAACGGCAATCGCCACGATGACGAATATTAGTTGAACGAGGTGATGATGAACTAACAGATGATGATGGTGATGATGAAACATGATTGGCCTTCAAAATATATTTATTATATCATTTAAAAATCATATTTTCTTTTATTCTTACATCATATTTTACTGAATCTTCATTCTCATTATCACTACCGTCACGTGAATCAAAATCTGAATCAAGTTCTTAATAGAAAAAATATTTAAATTATATTGTGTACTTTTTTTAATTTCACAAAATAACTTACCAGTTATACTACCATCATTATTAAAAACAATTCGTCGATTACTACGCACAATTCGATTGATTGATGATACACTTGGTAGTTTATCTGCTGGACAAATACCTTCTTTTTGAAGACTTTCACGAATTTGCCAAGCAAATATTTGAGGATTATTTCCTTTATATTCTCGTATACGTCGTACAACATCGGGTGTTGCAACTTTTGGTTTCGAACCACCAATTAAACCTGGATGTGTTGTACCAAATAAACGATATCTATTCGAAACAAAAAAAAACAATACGTAGTACGATCGAAAAAATAAATATTTCGCTTTTTTTAAAAAAAAGTATTATATGCTATAGTTAGTCACCATCACCATGAGCTTAAATTCTTACGCTATATACAAAGAAGAAGAAGAAATAAGCGTCTAGACAACATATAAAAATATCTGTACATAACAATACGAGTTTAAATTTTTGTCGTTTATATGACTTACCTTTTTAATATTTTGCTAACACAACCATGTGACACTTGAAGCTAAAAAAGTAAAAAAATACATTTAAAAAAGTAAAATTAATTGGTAAACATTACTTGACGACTTATTTCACATGGACGTACACCATTTTCAGCTAATGCAACTATTCGTTCACGTGTATCAGTTGGTAATGGTCGACCATTAATAAATTCACCGCCAAGTTGATTCATTGATGATGAACAAAATCGATTTTTATCTTGAAATATGATAGACAACAAAATGAATTTATAAAAAAAATAGAAAACAATTTCATACGTCGTTTAACACCATTTGAAACATTATTTGGTGTATCTGCAAATTTGTCATAAGCTAAAAATAAAATAAAATCATTATGATTGATTAAGATCTTTTTATTAATCATACAATTTTGCATTGATTCTTCTAATTCATTTTCAATTCCATCAATTTTTTCGTCACTATTATCAGTAACGTTTGTCTTGTCGTCGTTATTATTATTCTGATCAGTCGAATGGTTATCAGTCATTGATGTATCAGCCATCGTGAAAAAAATAAAAAGAACTAACAGCAAATGCTTGTCATGATCTGAAATAAATTAAATTAAATTAAACACGTACTCAAATCATACTCATCTCTTTCCTTTTACACATATTTAATTGTTAATGGCTAATATAAATTTATTTCGTTATTTCTTTTTCTTTTTCTTTTTCACTCTACTACTACTTACTGTTGATTGTTTGGTATTACATATTCAGGTTTTTTATTTCGAACATAGGGTAAAAGGCTGCTGCTGCACTGGCAACAGTCGAAAAAAAAATATAGAAGGACATTTTTCAAGATTATAGATGCGGCTGTCGTCGTCGCCCACACTCTTCTCATTAACGATCGATTTTGTTCACGCACGAGTTCTCTTCGTTGCCGTCAATACTGCCTTTCCTCTAACTCTACTTCTCTCCTTCTGAAGCAAGCAGCCGCGTCCATATATGAAGAACAGAAATGGTTGTAAAAAAAAAAGAGGAAAAAAAAAGAAAATGCCAGGCATGCGTTCGCGCACACTAAAAAGGAGAAAGACAGACACGCTTCATCTACTCGAGTAATCAGCCGCCCGGCAACATAATACACATACATACACACACATAGATGTCTGACTACAACTACCAGAATCAACACACTTGATGATTACCAGAGTAGGAGAAAAGAAGGAAAGAAAAACCAGAATCGAGAAGAATTCGTACAAGCGTGACTAATCGTATGTGTAACGAAGCAAATAGCATACTATGTTGTATGTATGTGTGTGTGCATGCGTAATGAAAAAGAGAGAGACAGGTTACTTCCTGTTTTCGAGTCATGTAAATATGTACGGGGTAAAAAAAAGATGAGAAAGAAAAAACGAGTATCGCCAATAGTGAGCTGTTTATGCATGAAAGACAATGATTTTTCTTCTTATATGCCCGTACTCCTTTTTTTTCGTATTCACCTATATTGGCACCGTGTATATGTGTATGTTAGCAACGATGCGATGCAGAATACGATCGACGAACGAGCGACACGCATATGGAGAGAGAGAGAGAATAACGGCGCCGTTCGTTGTTCATCATGTGGAACGAATCTCATTTCTCTCCATTTTTTCTCGCTTTCTCTACTCATTGCTAATGCTGATGCGTTTTCTCTCTCCCTCTCTCTCTGTGTCTCGCTTTCAGACATATCATCAAGCAGCGTTGCCCGCCCTACGTTAACCTATGGAGAGAAGAGTGCTTGCATACACACTCACATACTCACTCAAACGTTCGGTCATGCGTTGATCCACATATACACAGAAAAATGACGTAAAGCTTTTGGCTGCCTACAAAGAGATTAGACATGTAAAACCTTGACACTATACATAGTGATGATAGACAATTCAATTAGAACGATAAATCGTCATCGTCAACCGACTGAGGAATAAAAAAAGAACAAAATAAAAAGACGAAGAAGAAAGAGATATAAATCAAGAAAAGAAAACATAATTAAACGTCATATATTTACTTCTGATGAACATTAGACAAGAGAAGAAGAGAATATAATGAGGTGAAGTATAATGTACGTTGAATTACTACAATATATTGGTTGCTATTTACTATAGACCAACAAAGCACAAGAGTGAGACGAAGAAAAAATGGTAGTGAGCGAGAAGGTGATCCGCTTTAGTCCGTCATTCATCCATCTCATTCTCTTCTCTTTCTCTTTTTTTTATATGTATTACTCGCCCTGTTGGCTTTGGTTCACTATTACAGTGATGAAATCATGCATTTTGTATATTCTTTACTTTTGTACATACAGCCAATAAACATATACATTGATATAGACGTGCAGTTCTGTAATGGTTGCTGATGTGGGTGTTGCCATCGTAAAGTACCATATGTAAACGGCATAGAGTGACACGCATCACGGTTCGATTACGCTTTGTTATTGCTGCCACTGTGCAGCATGACTGCGATGAAGCGAACAAATGTGCGATATACACTCATGAGAGAAAGAAAAGGAGAATAAGAACGAGAAATGATTATACTGTGTATGTGTGTGTGTGTGATGCGTGTGTGAGAACAAACATTAGTGCCATTCTACCATCTAACATACATAGGAACATATATACGTAAATGTAGAAACGTGCGTTGTTGTGTTAACGACAACGAAATAAGTTTAGACAAACGAACGAACGAACGAAATGAAGGATGACATTTAGACACCTGTGTTTGTTCTAGCTGATAAGACCAATAGTAGTAGTCATCATCGTTGTCGCGCTCGGAGAATTTAGCTTATTCGTGTTTATCTTTCATACTAATCTACTGCTTGAATACCTTCTCTGCTTGAATTCCTTTATTCTTTCTTCTTTTTAACTAAAGTCATATTTATACTTACCTTCTTACCATCTTTTACTTTTATTCTTGTTTGTCTGTCTCTCCCTTCCTACCTCTTACTTTCTTTCTCCTTGTCTCACTTTTTTGATAGATACAAAACGGCATGCCGTGTGCGCCAACACTCGCGTCTCGTTGTCTCGTTTCGTTTGTTCCGTTCTCGGCGCGATTCGGTTTCGCTTTGCGCGCTTTTAATCTTTTTGCCCCTTCACCGTGTACGTCTATGTGTATATGAGAGAGAGAGTGTGTGTGTGTGTGTTCGCTTTGTATATGTCAGCTATTGATTCTCTACAAACACACACACGCATGCGTTCTTACGCACACACTCACATATATAGACGATGATGGGAAGAGAGGCACATCGAGAAGGTGGGTGGAAGAACGATGAAGAGAGAGAGAAAGAGAGAGAGAGGTAGAGAGTAAAAGAAAGAAGATCACCTTATATATCGACACACAAGATTACGGTTGTGTTGTTTGCTTGATATATGACTGTTGGGAGGCAAATATAATCTTGCCTTTCGTTCCATTTCAATAACGACAATGATAACGTGTAGTCAAATAATCTTTCTATACAGTTACGGAGAGATGATTTCTTTTCTATATCTATCATTTTCTGCTCGTATTGCTTTCTTTTTTTCTTTCTTTCTTTCTTTCTTATCAATACAACAACTACCATAACTCTCATAGGTTTCTTTCCATCATATATAAATATGTATGTATATGCATGCATCTCCAGAGACCGTGAAAATGTGCCATGCTTCACTGCCATAGAGAGTTGATCGGTCGATCTAGTGCGCGTGTGTATGTGAGTTCACGATAGGCACCAAATAAAGAAGAAAGAAGAGAACAAGAGAAAAGAGACTCATGCATGCATGAAAGCACGTCGTCGTCTTATCATCAATTCATCAATACTATTCGTAGAACTCAGTTGAGTAAGAAGAGTAGCGCAGCGGCCGATCTAATGAGTAACGTTTCTATTTCACGCTCGAACGAAACAGATTTTAAGCATTGTGCCCGCAAGAAATTCCATCTAAACATTATAACGAACGCACAGATACCCGTATATATATATATATATATATATGAGTATATACAAGTGCGTGTGACATGATAGAAAAAAAAGGTAGTTCGACGATGAGAAGCGACAGAATATGATGATGACTGGTGTAATCACTTTCACTATTCAGATGGATGACATGCATTTGATGAGCACCAGTCAAGTGTATGCGTGTTACATTCGTGCTCATTTCGATTAAAAGACTGAAAGTATATGTGGGGAATATGCTCATGACAGCCGAATCATGATCATCGTACTTCCCGAGTGACTTAATGAATGAATCAATTGTAATATATGTCTCTCAGTAAGAATGACATACACGGAAGGTATGTCGTCAAGTATTGTGATGCATATTCTCTTTTTTTTATGATGAATCAATTGACCATTTAAGCCGTATATGAAAAGAAACATTCTTTTATACTAAAAAAAAGAAGGAACTATGAACTTATTGTAGTTGTATTTTATATGAATTAGAACTGAACACTATTTCTTTGAATCAAGTTCATTGCCATTTATGTTCATAAGATTATTTCAATAAATACTTTATGAAGATTTATAAGATAATATGTATCGATACAGAAGGTTTTTTCCTATTTTATTATAATATATAAAAAAATTAAATGAAGCTAATTTTGATAGATGTCGTAAACAATTTATTAAAGTCTATCCAATGGATATTTCTAGTTACCAATCCATAATAAATAAGACAAAATCCAAATAAAAGTATTACATTTTTCTCTAAAAATGTTAAAAAGATTATTTCATTATAAATCTATATTACGTTTACAACATTGTACAGCAATACCACTTGATAATCGTGCTTTAATACAAGTTCATGGTGCTGATACATCGAAATTTTTACAAGGTCTTATTACAAATGATATTGAATTTTTAAATAATACAAATGCTATTTATAGTATGTTACTTAATGCTCGTGGAAGAATTTTATATGATATGATTATTTATAATCATCATATAAATAAATCATCCTATTTAATTGAAATATCTCAAAATGCTACTGCAGATTTTCTACGTCTTTTACGTACATATAAACTTCGTAAACAAGTTAATATCGAAGATGTTACACAATCATATCGTATTTGGTCAATATTATTATCACAAAAAGAATTCTTATCAACTTCCAATGATCTTCGTGATCATTTAAATTTTAAAACACGACAAGGTCTTATCATTGGTCAATCTGATCCTAGACATCCTAGTTTAGGTATACGTCTTATTACAGATCGTGATACACAAATAAATAATCTTATCGATTCATGTAATGTATCAAATGATATATTAGTTTATAAACAATGGCTTTATCAACATGGTATTGCAGAAGGTATTGAAGATATTCCACCTGGTGAATGTATTCCTCTTGAATATAATATTGTATATTTAAATGGCGTATCATTTACTAAAGGTTGTTATATAGGACAAGAACTTGTTGCACGTACACATCATACAGGTGTTATACGTAAGCGTTTAATGCCTGTTCAAATAGATAATTTTGAAGAATTATCAAAAAGTTTTGATCATAAAACAAATGATTTAACAATTATTAATGAAGAAACTAAAAGACGTGCTGGAAAATTACGTGCATCAATAAAACAAGATGGAATAGCATTAATACGTTTAAATGAATGGAAAAATAATATACGTATTCAAAATGCTGATGTATGGATAAAACCTTCAATACCTAATTGGTGGCCACCACTTGATGAAGCAACAAAACTTGAAATGAAGTTAGATAATGATAGCTAAAAAGCAAATCTCATCTATGTATGTGTTCATCGGTGAACTTTTGTATTTATTTTTCATTTCCTTTTTTTTAAATAAAATTATTTTCTTTACTGATCATCATTACTATTATTAGAATCCGATTGTTCTTGATTTGCATTCATTTCTGCATATGCATTATTTCCACGTGCTGTTGTTTTACTTATAGTTTGTTGTAAAAAACGTTTTCGACGACCTCTTTTTCGACGAACAAGTAATTCACCTGTTTTTCGTACTAGAATCTCACAATGTGCATTCATATCAATTGTTTGTCCAATATCTTTAAGAGTTTCTATTAATGTACCTAAGTTTTCTGCTATCCATGTATTACCTAAATCGAAAAAAAAACAATGCTTTCAAAAATTTGATAATGATTAGACTATCATTGTCTTTTTTGATCAACTAGAGTCTGAAATATTTTGTTTAATTGACCGTATTATGAATATTCTGATTTACCGGATTTTCGAGCATAAATAATACCACCCGATGAGGAAAGTGTTTCCATTTCAGGTGTATACACAACAGGCGTTGGAAAACATAGAGGTGGTGGTACGTCATTTTTTTGTGAAGTATTACTACAACTCATTGGTTTTTGATGTGCAAATACATTTGTAATTGGTACTGATCCTGTAGCACAATGAACAGGATTTGGTTGAAAACAAAAGCCTCGTCCAGTACCATTCCAATAGGGTTGCTGTGGTATTTGATTGTTTATCATATTACATTGATTACAATTAGAGTTCATCGGAGAAGACATACTAGATTTTTTATTTGATGAAGTATTTGTCGTTATTTCATTTACATGATTATTATTATTGTTTGTAGATTGTGTTGTTGTTGATACATTTTGAAATAAATAGGTATCAACAGGTTTTGAATAGTCTGATGATTTTATCGTATTAATCTTTTCTGTGTTAATAAAAAAAATACTTGTAAAATGTAATAAACTTTCTGAGAGGCAATATAACTCTTCTGTCAGATTTTGATACATTGCACGTGTTTGATCAACTTTAAGAAATTCTGCATTCTATATAATATTTATTTAGATATAAATCGTATTGAGTTTTATTGCTTTCTTACTTTTACTTGTAATAAAAGATTATAAAAATAATTATTAATTGTTCGAATGTGTTTGATAATTGAATGTAAATCTTGTCTTTGTAAATCATTTAATTGATCAATAGAATTTTGTATTGATCGCCACATTTGTACAGGATCAATATTTATTTTAAGTTGAATTATTCGATTTGGAAGAAATTCTTCAATAACTCTATTAATTAACATATCAAATAAAGATGCAAGTTGTTTAGCATAATCACTACGTAATTGAAATAGTTCAATAAAATGTTGATTGAAATTTATATTAAAATTATTATTGAAAATTGTTTGAAAATTTATTGTTAAATCTTGAATAAATTGTACTAGTTTACTCGATGCTGATTCAATCTGTTGATCGAGCATGATGAAAAAAAAGGAATGGATTTAAAATATTTTACCGCCTAATATTAATTGATAGAAGAGTTTAGTAAAATATACAAATTTGAATCAACTAATTTTGTTTTTGTATGTGTTTATGATTACTCTATTTCTTATTTTCCTCTGTTGAATAATTGGTCAGATCTATAAATTATGATAATTTCAAAGTCGGACAACGACTTTACAAAAATCATATGAACGATAAGAAAGTGAATTTGTCAGAAGTACCTGAACTCTTTTTTGTAAAATAATTTTTATATAACATTATCGTTTATGAATGAATTGTTGAATGTTCTTTAGAGTATACCGGTTAGTTCATGTCAATGCGAAGGTATTTTTCCATGTTTAAGAAGATTAAAAACTTATTTTTACAAACAGTATAGGAGGAGAAAAGTTATTAGGCATTGCTTTTTTAAATATTGAAAGAAACTTTGAAATTAATTTAGATCAAATAGTAAGAGATTTTATTGTAAAATAAAGTTCTTAACTAATATATTTTTGTTTATTCATTTGACTTCGACGAAAAAACAAAGATCGAGATTACATTTAAAAGATTATTTTTATTTACAACTATCACAGAGTATTTTCATAAAACTGAAAATAGATTTTTTTATTATACTAACGAATTAAAGTTTATTGTTCCATTTAACTTGAAAGTGTTGATCCACCATTTGCTTCCATAATTGATTGAGAAATGTTATGATCTAGTTGCCCTTTGTATACGTCATCACTAGATGGTCCGTTAATAGTTTTTGTTTCTTCTGCCGGAACACCAGTTTTATCCACGTTAGACTCATCCGCTTTATTCATCTTTTGAATGATTTATCAATGAGAGCACACGGGTATTTATAACCTTTTTGCATTATATATGTAGGTATTTTCCATACTGTCTAGAGATACACATATTTGTATACTCCCTCTGATAATGTTGAAACATTCATTGCGTTCTTCTGTCACGTATACATATTATTCTTTCCTTTCCTCGCATGTATGTATGGGCTTATCCCATATTGTGATCCTACACTGAAAAAAGATACACTGGCGGACTATTTTTGCAATGGGATCAAAATCTTTTAAAAGGTTTCGTAAACACCCAAGATACGCTCAAATCATTTTTTAATTTACAAGAAATCTTTTTGAAGGGTTTCGTGAGACCTAAGAAACTCATTCATGTTTCTATTCACGGTGTGGGTGTTGATGTGGGTGTGAGTGAGTAGATAGAAAAAGCAACGATAGCCAGACCCACCCACATCCACACCCACACCCATACCCTAGCATATTCTTCCAAAACCTTCTATGCTAAAGTGTGCAAAAAATCTCAACAATAAAAGGCAATAGAATCACTACACTATTATTTATTTAAAAGTGATACTTCAATTTGAATAAAAAATAGTATTATCACACATAAGAAATTCTACATTTTCATTATCTGCAGATGCAACATATTATAACATTTAATAAAAACTTATAAGATATAACGCCAAGCAGCATGTTTATCACCTAAATCTCGAATTTCTTCTTCTGACAGATGTGCATAACCCCATTTTCGTCGATCTTCTTCACTCCCACACCCATCGTAGACATCAACAACTTCTTTATTCAACTCTTTCGTTGTAACACTTAACGTACTATCACCTCTAGATAAGACACCATATAATCGATCACGACGACGATTTTCTAATCGAAAACTAATAAATAATATAATAACACTAATTAATCCTAATACACAAAATCCAAGATTAATTCCATGACCAAGAATAAAACGAGGTCCATCTTGAGATCGATAGATTTGACCACTGATTGTTCCACCACTATTACCTACAGATAACATAAATGCTAATGCAGTTGCTCGTTTTGTATGTGGACTAATATTGCAAGACAAAAAAGTGATAAATATGGGATTACATGATGAAATGCCACCTATTGCTAAGAATACAGCAAAATATTTAATACTAAGATTTTGTACAACAATTAAAATAATAAAACCAATAATAGCTATTGTAAACCAAAATATAATAAAAATAGCACGTCTTGTATATCGATCAGAAAAATAAGCTGTTGTCATTGTAGCTATGAATGCAAATATATATGGAGGTGTGGTCATAAGTTGTGCATGATAACTTCGAAAACCAAGACCTTGAACAATAGTAGGCGAAACAAGCGCAAGAGAATACAATGGCACAAGTATACTAATATCACATAAACAGAAAATGTATATTTTCCAATCAAGAAAAGCTGCTCGAACTTGTTTCCAACTAAAATGTTCACCAGCACCAGGTCCAGCATCATTTTGTAAACGAGTAATTGTTCGATCACATTCTTCTTCAGTTAAGAATTTCGGTCGATCAGATGGAAAATCATTGATTAAAAAGAAAGCGACTGCCCCGACAACAACAGTTACGATGCCTTCAATATAAAAAATCCATCGCCAACCTTCTTGTCCACCTATACCTCGCATTTGGCTGATACCATAAGCAAGAACACCACCAAATGCACCAGCTAATGCAGCTGCAGAAAAAAGTATACTTATTCGCCATGATAATTCACGTCTTTTGTACCAACTGGACAGATAAAATACAGCACCTAAATATAAATGTCATCAAACAATCGGAATGTATCTATATATACTAACCTGGAAAAAGACCAGATTCAGCAGCACCTAACACAAGTCGACAAGCAAGAAGACCACCATAAGAATGTACAAGGCCCATCAAAGTCATTACAATACCCCATGCAATCATAATTATTGGCAGCCAGCGATTTGGTCTTAGTGTTTTAAGAACTAGATTTGATGGAATCTCAAAAGCAACATAAGTAATAAAGAAAACACTGAGACATGCATTATATTGAGTACTTGTCAATTTTAATGATTCCATAAGACCATCAATTTTTGCTTGTCCAATATTAACTCGATCAAGATAACTTAGGAGATAAAGCAAAGTCATTATTGGAATAAGATGAAGATCAAGTTTACGAAGAAGTTTTTTATCATTTGGATCATCAGATATTTTATATTGCCTAGTTTTAATAGTATCATTTTCTTGAACATTTGTTGTTTGTATTGTATGAAGTCCAATACTATTGTGATTAATGTCTACAATAGTCATAGTCGTATCGATGAATGATTAATATTTACTTTATACAGTCAAATACATAACAACTAGTATATATAGATGAAGGACATATGAAGTAGAAATATCATAAGAGAAGGAACGAATAGTGTCACACGTCTGAATGTTAATGTACGATATTAGTCGATATTTTTCGTTTCTTCTCTTATATCAGTTAAAGATGTACGGTTGTTTTGAATCGATTCTGCATGCGGTAAACATTTGTAACTTTATCATTATTCGAGGTCATTTGTCACGCTAGAGAGCTCCTATTTCACTCAAACTTTAATATGATAATCGTATTGTTTTTCTTTTGATCTTAAGTTTAAACAATGGTAGTATAGTTGATTGAACGGTTACTGTAACATGTATACTGAACATCTCTTGTCTACGAGTCAATATTAGAGAAGTCGATCTTTCAGCAACAGTTGTTCATTAAATAAAACATCAGTTTTCCTATCTATTGAAAGCTATTTTATTATCAAGATCAATCAACAGATATCAAAGACTGAAAATCTATTTATATGTTTTATAAAAGTAATTTAATATGTAATATTATTTACGTACATTATACAGCATGTCGTTCATTATTATCGACAAATATTTTTAATCCATGTTTGAGAAAAACGATGATGCGTCGAAATATCCTTCTCGACAACTCAATAAAATAAGACTCAGAATTGAAAGCTCAAAAACATATGGATTGTAATTTGGTAGTTTTCCAATTTTAATTATTGCATTAGCGCAAAAAATTTTAAATAAGCTTGTCAGTTTTATAGTCTTACTATAGTGCATACAGATAAAAGAGTTTAAAATCAATTTTCATATATAATGATACAGAGATCTACACTGTAATTTTTTTTGAAATGCTACTTTTCATAAAATTGCCTTTAATAAAGCTAAAGCATTTTTAAACTTTATTATTCATTCGTCAAATATCAAACTCTTAGAAAATGCTCGATTTCTTGCTGATAGTCAAAACTAATATTGCTCAACTTTTATTCATATCTAAATACAGTCATATGCGCATGCAGATCGCGATAGTCTAGGGTCAAGTGAATCGAGTTTCGATGAACGTTACTTGTGAATTAAATTCAGAACGATACGAGACAATAGCAAGTAGAATCAAGCAAAAGATGATATTGTCTATTTTGTATTAATTAGAAAAGTCTATTTATTTGCCATTATTCTATAAAAACAATTCTAAAGAATAGAAAACAAACACACACACACATATGACAATTGCAAAGTACAAAATTAATCTTCATCTTCATCAGACGAACTCTGCTGAGCAGCATTTAATGATCGAGCTGATAATTTCATAGTATCAGCAATATCATCATCATCTTCATCATCATAACTGCTACTTATATGACGAGGTTTACTTTTTGATTCATCGAAATCAGTAGAATAAATTTTTTCTCCAGTTTTTGTACTATATAATAGATCATCATCTTCATCGGCACTTGATTGACGTCGAAATTTTTGTTGATGCCTTTTTGATATAGTTGAAGATGACGATGATTCACGATCAGACATTTGATTGATTTCTTCATGAATTGAATTTGGTTTTTTAATACTAATAGTTGGTTTAAGAATAATTCCTGCAGGTGATTGATTACGCGATGATGATGAAGAGGTTGTATCTTTTGGCAATCTTCGTTGTTCAAATGCTGCTGATACAAAACGCCCTGTACCTTCCATTGGTGATTTTCGACGTTGTACATTTGTATCATATTCAGAACGAGATATTTTACTTTCAGTATTCAAATCTTCTTCAAAACTTGATGTATTATATTGTTCAATTGGAGGTGATGGAGAAATCGGCGAATGTTGTCGATCAATTTGTTGCACTGGACGTCGGTATTGTTGCTGTTGCTGTTGCTGTTGTTGTGGTGGTGGTGACGGTGGTCGTTTTGATCTTTTGTCAACATCTGTTAATGAAATTTCTCGACCAAGTAATTCATTTTCAACTAGTTTTTGACTTAATTCAACCGTTAATAATTCAACTTCATGAACAACAGAAATCAAAGCTTCATCAAGTAGAAATTCCGATAATCTAAATGATAAATAAAAAAATAGCAAAACTAATTTATATAAATTAGATTTTATTAGAACTAACCTGTTAATAACTTGACATGGATCAAAGTCATCAATTTTAGCTGATTCTGTTCTTTGTAAATAACTTTGATAATCTCTTTTATAACGTTCAATTTGTCGTATTTTACTTGAATCTAAACCGTATAATCGAACATTACCAGAAGGTGAAGAGTTCATCGTTGTTGTTTCAAATGCTTGATTATTTTCATTCGATTTTGTAACAAAATCATCAATTGTATGCTCGAAAAGTGGAGTATGAATATGAACATTTTCTGGTAATGTTGGAGTTAATGATGAATTTACTTGAAATTTAATTGTTTGTCGCATTGCTGTTTCGTCTTCTAATCGATTTGTTCTATAATTTTGAAGACGTTGTCGAATTTGAGACATTTCATCATCCCAAGTAGATATTTGTGTTTGATAAACATCAATATTAACACGACGTGCATGTTCTTCTGGTGTTTCTAATACTGCAAAATGTGTTGTTGATGGTTGAATTTGATGATCTTGTCTTGGCATAAGCATTTGTATAACACGTGTATTTATTTCATCATCACTCAAACGATTATCAACAAGAAACATAGGTATCAATGTACGAGCACGTTCAATTTGTTTTGATAATTCATTTCCATTATAATTAGCAAGAAGTTTAGGAGCTAATTTAACAAGAATATGATCAACAGTAAAACGTGAATGAAATGGTGTTTCTATAGTTGAAGCAGATTTTATAGATGGTAATGGTGAATGACTTCGTGCTCGAGTTTTATGTTGCATTGATATTGTTGAACGATTTATTTTTGAGGTCTTCGTACGTGGTAAACGTATTGATTCTGCACTACGTGGACGTAATACTGATGGTATTACTCGTGGTTTTTGCTGTTGTTGTTGTTTTTTCTTTATTAGTTCATTATAAATAGTAGGTAAAAGTTGATTCGATGGTGCCGCACGATTATTTGAAGTTGCTCGTGGTGTAACACTTTTAGATGGTGGAACATGAAGATATGAACGATCAATTTGTAACTGAGATAGACCTAGTGCATAATTTGTATTTGTTAAAGTTTCAAGAACAGGAATAATAGAAGTATAAAGTTGTTGAACTGGTGCATCTTGTGATTTAAGTGGTGCTTCATTAGCAAGAGTTTCCATAGCAAGTAAAACTGCTTTGTAAGCATTTAAATGACGATGAGTTAGTCGAGGCTATATAGAAATAAAATAATCAGATTAATCATAAAAATATCTCTGTTATGGGAAATAGTGCCAATAAAACAAGATTCTCGATCATTCAGAGTCTTAGTCTAGAGTAATAAATGATTTATAGATTTATACATACTATATTAGCATCTGGTTGACGAATATCAATTAGAATTTGTTTAAGTTCTTGATGTGCATTATAAATTGCTCGTGAATCACGTTTTATTCTTTCACGTTTAAGTCTTATTCGACGTTGTTTTTCTTGTTCAGTTTCATCAATAATATTTTCTCTTGCAGGTGGATTATGTAGAATACGTAATTGTACAAGAAGTTGTTCATGTACATCAGTTATTTCATTTTGTTTACCAAGTGAAAGTGCAGTAAATGGATCATCTGGTCGAGTAAAATGAATTGGTGTTGGTATTATTTGAGATCGATTGATTTCATTTTTAGTACTTTTTTTAACTGTAGTTGGCTTTTTTGGAGCTGATGCAGAACGAACTGGTGGTTTTTGAGGACGTTGTTGTGATTGTGAAGAACGAACATTTCGTTGTTGAAATGTTTGTTTAGGAGTATTTTTTTCAGTTATTTCTTTTTTCCATCGATCTTCTTTAAGTTTTCTTTGTGCTAAAAATTGATACATATGTAATTTATTTGCATCAATTGATTGAAGATGTGGTAATACTGATGAGGAGGATGATGATGATGTTGGTAAAGAAGGTATTGATGTATCAATTCGAGGAATTGTTTGTTGAAGTACATGTGGAGCTCGACCGAAAGAAACTGGTGCAGGATGTGTAACATTAATAAGATTAAGAGGAGAAACAAATGCATTCTCATGAAACTGAAGATAATTTCGAGGTAAATTGCTATTAGATTGAGTTGATTGAAACATGATTAAATCCTTTACTTTATTATCTAACCTTCTTGTTCTTTTGAATCAGGAGAAAAAAAGAAAGATCATCGTCGTCTTAACGACAAAGATTTAACATCAAATAGATGAAGCATACAATAGAGGCCGCTTTTATTGATAGTTAAAATGAATACTTACACTGTAGTTTTCAATTGTATGAAATGAATGTATATCCTTGCAAATGAGGTTATAAATCTAATGCTAGAATTATTTCGATGGTGTCCTTCGAGCTTTAATTAAGAGACAAAGATAAGTAATATTTATATACTATTTTGGAAATCTTATAGTTTTTAAAATTACTGGTAAGTAAAGACAGAAACAAGTGGTTCCATTTTCTAGTTCTTGAAATCTGTTTTTCAATAATATAAACAATAAAAAATGATAGTTTGTTTTTAAGATTATTGATGTTTATTCCTCTTCAACATGACGGTTTCTTTACAAAGTAAAAGAAGTATGAGAAGGTATTAATACATTGATACGAAATTTCATGTCGTATAAATTTTAAAATAGATATATTCTGTCGATCTCTTTATCCGTTGTATAATTATATTCATATTCATGAGAAAAACTACTTTTCTCATATTCCGAAAAATATCTACAGTTAGTACTTACTATCAAAAATACAATACACTGTATCTTGACAGAAATATCATAGAGTTGAAAATAACTATCAGACAGAGAAATGAGGTTGTTATGTGTTAGTCTAGTTAAATATTATCATCAAGTAAAAATTCTTACAATTAGAAAAATTTGTGTACTACTATATATAATAACATAATATTTATATTTATACTGAATTTTGTAGATTATTTTCGGATATGTTCTTCACTGACGAAATTATCACCCTCAAGATTTGTCATCAATCGCCAAAATGGAGAGGATTTTAAGAGCATAGATTATCTAATCTTTATTTTAGTGGTTGTGACTATAGATAGTCTCATTGGTGTTTGTAGAGAATGAGTTGACAAAGTTAATATTAGTTAGCAAATCTAAAAAGAATGATTGCTTTTCAAACAACAGAGATGTAGCTGTTATTCTATTGGTCAGAAGCGACCTATCCCATGTGACATTGTGATTCACTTATTCTATAAAAAAAAAGAGAAGAGTAAGTCTACTGTTATTTGAGTATACACACTGAACAATAGACTTTTTTTCTAAAACTATGGCATCAAATTCAGCTTATGCGGATCTGGTTGATCGTCCATTATTTGGCGAAACAAGATCTCGAGTATGATATGACTAAATATTTATCTATATAAATTAAAATATTGTATTTTTATCGATTAGGATCGAATTTCATTTATGATCATAACAGCAGTTACGACTGTATTTGTTCTCGTAAAGATTCTTATTTTAACAAACAAATGAACATTTTTTTATACTTTTTAGGCAACATTTGTTGGAATGTTTCTTTTTAAACATATAAGCAGCACTCATATATTCTTAAATATTTGTCTTCTACTTCTTCTTGCTTCACATTTATGCTTAGTAAGTTACGATCAATGAAATTTTTTAATTATTTTCTATTCAATTCATTTAGGCATTTTGGTATCGTTCAGGTGATTTAGAACCACGTTTTCGTAATATGTTATTTTTCAATACAGCTATTATTATATTATTATGTATTTGTGCGAATTTAATTATAAGTGGAAAATAATTATCTTCTAATGTAAATAATAAATAAATTCTATATTTAAAATAAAATACAAAGATTTAGTTTACTAAGTATTTATGATTCTTATATTAAATAAAAATACAAATTTGTTTGATATTCTGTATATATGCAGATCTTAATTTGAAGAAATAGTAATAATTAACTAAGTAGTTCACCATCATACTTTGTATGGGTTATTATACCTCGAGAATGAACAATAGATGCCAGATGTGTACTTATTATCCTTATTAATTATATAAAGTAATAAATGTATTATTTATCTTATAATCTTAATGCTATGCATGACGGATTCTTCGTTTTTATTATCAAAAAAGAAACAATAAAAATAGAATATGGCACGACTATATAATCACTGGCTACAGATTCTATGGATAGAGGGAGGAAAAAGCAGATAAAATATGTTCATTTTATTGAGCATTCATTTAGTCCGAGCTTGTAGCTTTTAATGCATCATTTTTTTCTTCGACTAATTCTTTTTGAGTTTTTTCAATCATTTCACGTGACCATTCATCGAGTTTCAATCCTTGAACAATTGAAATTTTGTTATCTTTTATTTGAACTGGATAACTAAATACCAAGCCTTTTTCGATATCATATGAACCATCACTAATAACACCCATTGATACCCATTCATTCTAAAATATTCATCATATAAAAATTAAAATATAATTTTTTCCTTTTTAATATTAGTTTACATCTTTTGTTCCTTGCCACCAATCACGCATATGATCACAAATAGCTTTAGCTGCTGACATAGCACTTGAAAGTTTACGTGCAGCAATAACAGCAGCACCACGTTTTTGTACGATCTAAAAAATAGTAATAATAATAAATAATTATTTAATTTCATTCCTATTAAGTTTCCATACCGAAACAAATTCATTTTTAATCCAGTTATCATCTTTAACAGCTTCATAAATTGGTGTTTCTTTACCATTAACAGTTACTGTTCCGGAGCGAACATCAGGAAATTGTGTTGATGAATGATTACCCCAGATCATAATATTTTTAACTGTATCTGGTGATACTTTAAGACGTGTTGCAATTTGAGCTTTAGCACGATTATGATCTAAACGTGTTAAACAAGTAAAGCTTTCTCGTGGAATCGATGGAGCATAATGAGCTAAGATATAACAGTTTGTATTTGCTGGATTACCAACAACAAGTACCTAAGAATATATATTTGTAAGAAATAGATAATAAATCAAAGAAAAATATTACTTTAACGGATTTCTTGGCAAATTTTTCAAGAGCAGTTCCTTGTGATTTAAAGATTTTAACATTAGCACTAAGTAAATCTTTACGTTCCATGCCTTCTTTACGTGGCATAGCACCAACAAATAAAGCAACATCAACATCTTTGAAAGCTGTTTCTTCACTATCAGTTGGTACAACACCTGATTTATAAGAAAAGTCTTATAAAAAAAACTTGATTATTCTATTTAGAATTACCTTTAACTAAAGGTAAACTAGTATCTTCAATTTCCATGACTAAACCTTGAAGCATGGTCATCATTGGTGTAATATCAAGTAAATGAAGAATAACACTCTAAACAGACAATGTTTGTTTTTTGTAAAAACGAAAGAAAAAACAACTAACTTGATCTTTTCCAAAAACATCACCGTTACAAATTTGATGAATTAATGAATAAGCAATTTGACCTGCAGCACCGGTGATTACAATACGAATTGGATCTTTGATGTTCTATTTTAAAATAATTAGAAAGATAATAGAACAATTATTTACTCTTACTGATGAAGACATGACTGGTTAGCGATACGTAAATAAACGAAGTGAATGAAATCTAAAGAGAAAAACAAAGAATGTTATAAATATTTATTGAATAACAAGGTGCTAACGGCTTATGCCTGGAAAAGATACAACGTAAAATAGGACGAGAAAGAGAAAACGAAAAATCTATCGATTGATATTATTGGCTTTTAGCTTAACCAATCATCGATTCATTTTCAACTAAAAATTTAATACTGATCGATCTGTCATATATTAACTTCTTTTTCTTCTTATAAACAATGAACGGATGGTCAATGTCAATTTTATTCTTTTAATTTTCATTCAATCATTTAGTTTAACTACTAGTCGATGTAATCTTCGTGGGCTTATCGCTTGTATTGAAGTGCCTATTGAATGTCTTGATTGTTCATTGACAATAGATTGTATTTATGGTCAACCGATTTCGAGTTCATGTCGAATGCTTAATGGTTCATGTTTAAATAATAATGATAAACCTGTTTCATCATTTCAACGTTCATATATATGTCAATATTGTTATCAAATAGCATTAGATGAACTTACTTGTACACCAAATATTACTTGTCGTCGACATCAAAATTCAAATCGTTATAAATCAAATTGTACAATTAGTGACAATACACAACTATGTTTAGGTTCAAGAACATTTTATCGAAATATAGAATGTAATTGGACAAGTGGTAATAAGAAATCGAAAACATTATTATTAAGTATATTTTTGGGTGGTCTTGGTTTTGATCGAATCTATTTAGGACATATTAAAGAAGCATTTGGAAAAATATTTTCATTTGGTGGTCTGGGTATTTGGACATTAATTGATTCTATACTTATTGCTTGTGGTTATCTAACCCCGGATGATGGTTCAGTTTACATAGAATAGAAATAATAAACTATTTTTTTTTGTCGGTGAATATTTTAATATAAATTTATTTTTAGATTGTAACATATTTCTTGCAAATATCAAAATAATTACTCATGAGAATTTGAATCTTTATACAATATAAATTTTTACTTGATTTGATGATACAATAAACTCTAATTTCGATGAAATAACAGATAGAGAAGCAATATTCTTATGCATTAGTAAGTACAGAATGATACTATATGCTATCTTCGTTAACGACTCAAGAATATTTAACTATGGTTTAGATACAGAGATAAGAAAGTAAAATGTTGATGAGAGTATTGTCTCTATGCTAAATGAAATAGGTGAGTGATACTGTTATCTCGAATTCGTTCTTACAAAATATTTCTTTGGTCGTACTGACCTTGATAGTAGCATTGAAAACTATGCACATATAATTTGAGTGATAACACTGGCAATTGAATTATGAACTATCTTAGATATACCATTAGCATAGAATACTAGTCACTACCAAAACTTATATTATTGTTTAAATGAGTAAATGATCAATAATTATTAACCGGTGACGTGTCGATGAATTACTATATTTGCAAATCTCCATCTGAGACGTTTTTTCAAATAGTACGAACTGTTTTTTCCTTAGGATTTTTCTAGATATGTCCTTAAATAATGATTCCATTGCACGTAATAAACCATTACTACGTGATATAGATTCTCAACGTATACGAATGACAACAAATGATTCTCACATTCTTAATTTACCTCCACCACCATCATCTATGAATCATCCAATATCAAATATTCGTCCATCACCAATTCCAGGCAATTTCAATATTCTACCACCACCACCACAACAACCACCCTCAACATCTCCAATGCTTGGTGATACAATGTCAACATTCAATAAAGAACGTTTACATGATGTTCTACAACATGGTTTAGGCACATATGTATATATTGAACATTTTGGTCTTGTACCCAAATTAAATCATTTCTAAATCTTCTTTATTTGTTGTTTAATTAAAAGAGAAAAAAAAACAGTAACATAAATATATATATATTCTCTTTATAATAACACAAAGACTGGATGAAAAAAAATATAATAAACCTATTATTGACAAATAATCACAATTAGATTGTTTTTTTATATGTAAAAAAAAATTCTTTTTTTGAACTAATAACTAATATTAAATGCTCGTACGCAACCAGCTAGATAACATGAAACATAAAATTGTGTACCAGCACGATTTGTACATATACCTGATGGACGTTTTATACGTTCATTTAATTTTAATGTAGTTTTATATTCACCATTAGATGAAAATATCTATAATAATCAATCAAAACGATTATTTTTCAAATAAATCAATATTCTTTACTTGTAGTCGATCATTTTTACTATCAGCACTGATAATATTTCCGCCTGAATCAATAACTAGACCTGATGGATCATTCATTTCACCACTGGCTCGTCCTTGACCACCAAATACAGTTGTACAAGAATATTCAAATTGATTTCGAACACTTGTTCCATAGATTAAACTACGACCTAGAAATAATTTTTTGTTCTTGTATTTTATTTAAGTCATATATAGTTCTTTTTACCAAGATCAGCAATATAAATATTATCATTATGTACAGCAAGAAAACGTGGTTTACTTGTAGTTTCTGGTAAAATTTTTCCTTGAATATGATTAATATTTTGTTCTTTTAAAATATCTTCCGATTCTCTATTGATAACAATAGGTTTCTCAAATACGAGTTGTCCACTACTTGGATCAAATAATAATAAACGACTATTTTCAGCTGTTTGATTATCAGTTGCTTTTGAATCAATTGTTAATAAATAACGATCGCGAAACAGAGCAATACCTAAAGACATACGAAATAAATGAAAATTTTTTTATCTCGAAAAAACAAACCATATAATTGTTTAATAGAACGATGACCAATAGTTTGTACTAAACGACCATCAGGTTCAGTGATATAGATATAATCTCGTTCAACAATTAAGATATTATTACGTGCATTACTCATTACAGCACTTGGACGATGGAATTTCATTTGCTAAATAATAAATCGATAGTAAGAATGTGAAACTATTATGGAATATTACTATTAAATTACCTGATTACCAGTTATTGTATGTTTTAATCGACCTGTTTGAATATCAAATAAACGAACATTTTGTGAATTTCGATGTACATCACATGAAAGTAATGTTAATTCATCATATGATAAACCAACACCAATGGGTAAACAAGTTGCTTGTGGACCACTTTGTGGTGTACCATAATTCATATATAAATCACCTCGTAAAGCAGGTCGATCTAAAAAAATGATGAACTTTATTTTTAAATTTGAATAAATCATAAAACAATGTACTTTGTTTATCTCCAAATTCTTGTATATATTCATCAGTTATATGTGAATTAACAATTGCTGTTGTGTGATTAAGATGTGATTGTTCGACGACGATAGAAAGATAATCTTTAGTTGGTTGCCAACTATTTTATTTAAAAA